ATCTTTCAACGGTGTGTCTAATATACCAATAATAGTTGCATAGCCATCTGAACGAGGATGAAATGTTAATAAACATGTGCCTCGTTATTAGCATTATATTGTTACAAAAAATACTTTAAATTTAAAAAAATCCCCCCACGAATGAATAAACTAAGAGTATTCGTTACGCAACGTAAACATGAAAATAAAATAGAATTATTAAAAAAATTTTACACTAAGTAATATCGAAATAAAAGGGAAAAAAAACCAAATGTAAAAAAAAAAATTTACACCGCCGGAGATTTGCGGGCAAAATACGGCGGTACGGAAAGGGAGAATCAGTTCGACACTGTTAGATCGTTAAGACTACCTTCATTTTTGGCGGCGGATCCGGTATTGTGGTTTATGCGTGTCGATTCTGTATTTAGACGCTCAAATATTTCAGTGGACGCGACAAAGGTTGATTATCTTTTTTCAGTTCTGGACGATGACGCTGTAGCTTGCGTAAGAGATATTCTAGTGCAGAACCCATTGCCCGTGGACGCGTACAAGACCATCAAGGAGCGGATAATTTCGGTTTTTTCGATATCGCCGGAAGCTAGCTTGAGGCGATTGTTGCGGGGCGAAGTGTTGATTGACGGTAAACCTAGTCAGGTCCTAAACAGGTTGCGTGCTTTAAATGGCAGGAAGTGCGACGATGACGTTATCAAGTCTATCTTCCTGGAGTAATTGCCGCCTAGTCACAGACAGATATTAGCCGTATCAAGGTCATCTAACTTGGACGATGTAGCATTGTTGGCCGATAGATTGTCTGAAACCGCTATACTCGCGCCACGCATAAACGAGGTAACGGAACAGGTATCGGCAGTAAGGCAACCGCAACAAAAAAATCGTACTGAAGAAGCATTAGAGAAAATTATGAAAAACCTTGAAGCGATTAAAAGCGCGATACAGTGTAAAACTGAGAAAAATAGTCGTTCGCGGTCAAAATCTCAAAGCTCACGCGAAAATAGAAGTTACCTGTGTCACGCGCACACAAAGTTTCCTGACGATTCTAGGACGTGTCAAAAGTGGTG